AGAATCTAATGTAGATAGAGCATTAAATAATTTTTATAAAATTTTAAATAATATTTTTTCAATGTGTGTTCCTGAATTTAAATTATATAAAAATCACAATAAATTTCCGGTATAGTACAATAGAGAAATCAAAGAGTTAATTGCGGAAAAGAATAAGTTAAGGAAAATAAAGCACATTTCAGCCTATTATACTGAAAAATATATAGAGATTAGGAAAAAATTAAAATATCTTACGAAAAAAGAATATACAAATTATGTTAAATCTATTGAAGATAAGGTAAGCACAGACATTAATGTTTTCTGGAATTATGTTAGCAAGAGGAGGGGTCAGAGTTCAACTAATGAAAATTAAATTCACGACGATAAGGAAATTCCGTCCAAAGATACAGCACAATGCTTTGCAGAGTTTTTTGCCAGTGTATACTCCACAAATGCAACCGACTACAATGTAAATTTTAAAAGTTTTCAAAATATAGCTAACGATACATTTTCAATAAAATCTATAACTGTTTCAGACTTTAATAAAGCTATTAAAAAGCTTAAACCAAAAAAATCAGCGGTTGTAGATGGTTTACCACCATACATACTGAAAGGCTGTCAAGAATGGTTACGTGACCCATTACTGCACATATTTAATCTGATAATCAATAATGCTGCCTTTCCAGAGCAGTGGAAGACTTCAATTTGTACCCCAATACATAAAACTGGGGATAAACGTAGTATAAAAAATTATAGGCCGATATCTGTTATGTGTGCTCCTTCAAAGCTCTTTGAACAAATTATTTATAGTAAACTGTATGCATTTGTCGAAAATACCATTGTAGAACAACAACACGGGTTTGTATCCAAAAAATCTGTAAATTCAAATCTGTTAATATACATCAACGAAGCAAATGACTCATTAGAAAATAAGACTCAACTAGACACAATATTTACAGATTTTAGCAAGGCCTTTGATAAAGTGGATCATGGCGTCTTACTACAAAAGATTTATCGTTTTGGACTATCTGCAAATATTATGAATCTTTTTAAAAGTTATTTACAAAATCGATTTTTTGTAGTAAAACACGATGGAAACACTTCAGGTAAATTTCACGCTTCATCGGGGGTTCCACAGGGATCTAACTTGGGTCCCTTGTTTTTCCTCTTATTTATTAATGATTTGCCAGATGTTATTAGATATTCCAAATGTTTACTTTTTGCTGATGATGTAAAAATATTTAAGCCTATACAAACCGTTAGAGATTGTTCAGCTTTGCAAAAAGATATAAACAGTGTATTGGAATGGAGTGCTCAATGTAAATTAGACTTTAATATTAAAAAATGCAATGTAATGTCAATTACTCGACAAGAGGATCCAATTATTTTTGATTACTGTATGGATAATGAGTCACTAAAACGGGTATATGAATTCAAAGACTTAGGAATTACGTATGAGTGTATAAACTATCTTTTAAAAAACACATTGAAAATGTAGTAAAATCTGCAAATCGCGCTCTTGGATTTACGATACGACAGACGTCTCTTTTTGTCAAAATCGATTCTATAAAATTGATATATGTTACGTTAGTAAGATCTAAACTTGAATATGGCTCTGTAATATGGAATGGAGAATACCAAACCATTTTGCTAAAATTAGAAAGAATACAAAACAAATTTTTAAGATACCTTTACTTTAAAAAATACTTTATTAGACCAGATTATAATAGTGTCAGAACAACACAATTACGAAGTGAATTTAAAATACCTTCTTTAGACTGTAGGAGAAAAATGTTTGCTATACTTTTTTTGTATAAAATCATAAATAACCATATAAATTCCGCAGAAATATTGTCAGTTTTGCCATTTAATGTACCTCCTAGACCTACGCGTTCCGCGATTATGTTTAATATTCCCTTTGTAAGTAGCACTCTTCGATCACCTCTCCTCCTAACCATGCTCCGTTTAGCAAATAATATTACTTGCTTGCACGAAGTAGATTGGCATATGCCTCTAATAACATTCAGACACCTAATTTATAGGTATATTGTGAACTTGTCTGTTTAATTATTTTAGTTTTTCCATTTCTTTTATTATATGATTTGCTTTTTATTTTTTAGAATTTTTTTTCTCAATATGAGTTTGTGTTTAATCCCCCTATATATCTATATATCTATTTATTTAATATGTATATTAATACGTTTTGATCGATTGTGTAAATAATAAATATTGTAAAGTCTATCCTTGTAATTTAGGCCAGTAAGCCTGTTAGGATGGAACAAATAAATAAATAAATAAATAAATATAATATTAATATCCGTAGAATAAATTTTGTATCAATCCTCCCACAACACAAGACTAAAATGTTTGAAAGCTCTTTTACTTACGTATTTAACAAAATAATTAACTTCCTCCCCCCTGAACTTAAATGTTATATATTAAATGGTGACAAGGAAGTATCATTTAACATTTAAAATTTATCAAAAAATATTTTCATTGATGCTTCGCATAAATTGATTAGGTATTGTATTATTATTATTAGATATTAGATATGTACTATTTAACTGTTAATTAATTTGGGTTTTCTCTTTTTGAGAAATTTTTTAATATAATCTTTGTAATTTTCTTTTACACTATTTATGTATGGATATATTGAAAATCATCTTCATTCATCTTGTATGATTGACGATGGATATGTCCTTTTTAGTGAGCTCATATTTTTGGGAGGTTATTGTATTATTATTTTTTTTATATTATATTCTTGATATTTTCTACAATATATTGTTATGTACCATACTATTGGCTTACTAAATAAACGTTATTATTATTATGTTATTATATATAACTTTGAGGTGAATCAGTACATAGACCAGTGATCAAACCTGGAACCTTCCGACTAGAGCCGTCGGTACCACTACCAATTGGGCCATGGAAGTACATGGCCGCGACAGTCGAATTTGTAGATTTGAAGTCAATCAAATTATAACTATCAGGGGCGTGCGGTCCATGGAAGCGGAGGAAGCACCGCTTTCCTACACTTTGAGATTTAAAAATAAATATTTTTCAGTTTACAATACATAGAAATTAATATTAAATTAGGTACTATATTTTCTTTGAAACATTACGTAAACTTTGTAAATGTACTAACAATTCATTGGTGTAATGTGTAAACACACGCACCACCCATGAAAAAATTAATTGTGTAAACGCACACACCATATACTTCAAGTCCGTCGGCGGAAGCGCGTCTTGAAAGAGCCAGTTCATCTTCCAAGAGGTTATTGACCCTGCTTTGCCACGACATTAGTCGGTCTGTTTGGATACGTGAAATACGGTCGAGAGGCAGCGATTTTTAGGTCGCCTTACGCATATTGCAATTCGCACCGCGAATCGACGTGTGAGGAAAATCGTAGACTTCAGATAGATTTCGGTTCGTTTTTCGTAGTTGTTTTTCTATTTTTAAAACGGAGGAACAATGCACTGTGCCTGTGAACAATAATAATGTGGTAAATTGTGTCTGTATTGTGTGCTCTTTAATAAAAAACGATTTTCAAGTAGAAATTTTGAAGAGAAAACAGACATTATTAATTCTAGTAGACTAAAGGATCCTATTAAGTTAGAGACGTAAGTAGAAAAGTCAACAAAGAAATTTACCAGGCATTTTCACGTATGAAAAGTATGAATGGTTAACTGGCTGCAAAACTTTAAAGAAATTGTTTTGCTGGCCTTGCCTACTTTTAAATATAGCCGAAAAATACATTGGAACTCAGTCGGCATTACACAATAGTGTAAAACGACTTGTAAATAGCAAATCTCATATAAGTGCTACAATTAAAGAAAAAACATTCGGGACCTATTGCATTGAACATAGTTTGGACAATCATTTAAAAATAAGCAACAAAACAACATAAAACAAAAGATGCAAAGCATCAAATTTTGCGTTTAGTGAGCACCGAAATTTTAAATTTGGATCAGTATATACGCATATACTGATTATTTCTCCATTTTCCCTGTGAACGCTTATTTGATCAATATGCAGGGGTTCAATAATATGAACTCTGAGCTGTCAATATGAACCCCATACCTCTTAATCCCCTTCTCCCAACCCTAAATTAAAGTACCAACTCCCCCTCTCTCTCAAACTCCCTTCCGAATCCTAAATTCCTTCCCCCTCCTTTTATTGCAAGTCTGACTTGAGGATTTATAAGTATTATGTTGATGTAATAAGAAGTAATAAGTACACCTACCCATTTACAAAAAAATATTTACTCATTTATTATATTTAGAGTTACAAGATAAAAGAAGTAACTTCTCATTATATATTTGAGGAAAAATTGTGGGAATACCATATAGTCAGCTAAAAAGAAGAGCAAGTAAGTTGAAGTATAGTGTGAAGATGCTATGTAAAAAATACCTGATAGCAATGTCCATTTTATTTGACTCTCCTTCGTTTAGTTGGGACTGTGGAAGGTCCGAGCGTAGGGTTTTCAATGGACGATGATGGTCCAGGCTCAGGCTCTTCAATACTCGGAGTGGCAGGCTGGGATTAGCGGTTATTCAACTGAAAGCAATGTCATTGAGTTTGTGTGTTGTAAAATAACGCATAAATTATCTTCTGAAGTCTTGCCAGCCTCTGACAGTGGTGCACCAAACGGAAGGTCGTCTTCTTGCTTATCGAGGTCGGTTCTTTCGTCCACGTTGGTGCAGGAATTGGCACAGTTGATGCAGACTTGGGTGCAGAATAGACCTGCGCGCCTGCATCCACAACACCCACGATAGTCAGTGCGACATTTGCATGATATTTGCTGCATTAGTTTGTCAGGAGGTGGGGGTTTCAGGTTGGTAAGGGGGATCAGACCATTTTTGGTTGACTTCCAACCCCACAGCTTCAGATCTAAACTGTTGCCGAGCTACTGCTATACTTGTAAATATACAAGAAAGCTATGCTGGTAGGCTGCAGTATCGGTGGGAGGGATAGATGCAATGTTACTGGAAAACTTGAAGGCAGATGTCACGTACTGCTAGTATCGCTGCGAATTTAAGGAAGCTGTTAGATGGTTAGCCCTGTACAGGGCCACCAAACATGTTTCTCCAGCAGCAGCAATTGCCGTTGGCTGAGCTGACGGATCCAAGAATTTCCCAACGGTCTCTTTAAGGTCTGGGTATTTAGGGAGAGGCTTCAAAAATTTAGTATTGCCTTGGTTATATAAAGATAACATCGAGTCGCATCCACTCATTGCTTGCAGAAACATCATGTGCTTGGCAAGATTTTGTTTTACTGCAGAATGTGGTTGGTACAGCAACTGAGGCGCTTTTCCTTTCCCTGGCTTCAGCAGATAGACGTTTGGAGAAGTGTTATGACCCACCATTATCACCAGCAGATCTACATCTTCCCTCACAATCGCCACGGTGATTTGGGGCCAAGGATTCGGCCGTCCGAACAGTCAGTGAATCCGCATCCTCGTTTGCTTGTCTGCTGGAAATTCCAACTTCTTCACACTTTGCCATTAACATGGTGATTAAGCGACTTTTGTTTTCGGCATTACACAGAAACTTTTCTTGAGACACCGTCGGTATCATTGTGTGGATGAATTGTATTTCTACTGAGTGTTTCTTGGTTCACCGCTCCATAGATTTCGTTAGTTTATTGCAGTTTACACAAAAAATTGCGAAACTCCTTCATATTAATCAAATAAGCGCTTAGAGGAAAAATGAAAAAATTATCAGTATATGCGTATATATACTGATCCAAATTTAAAATTGCTCACTGAACGCAAAATTTGATGCTTTACAACTTTTGTTTAACGAGTTTTTCACGTAGAGTGGCTGTTTTCACATTACAGATGTCTAAAAGTGAGTTTCTTGCAGTTTTCATAAAAGTTGCTAGAAATTGGCTTTTTTTTTCGACTGACGATGGTGACCTTATAATCGGTCTAATTTAAAAGTTAGGGAGGTTTTTCGATGCAGAATTTTATGCTCTTCAATAATATTTTCCGTACGATACACTGTTTCCATTATATGAGCGGAAAACCAGAAAAACTCCGAAAATTTCGAGGATTTTTACGTTTATCGACCTGAAGCGGCACTGCTACGAGGCAGCAAACTTCAGATTCGTGTACAGCACCCCAAAAAACATAATTTCGTTGAGAAACCTTCTACCGCACTCATGTTACGAAAAGGCACTTCTGAACACCATTTGATCAGACTATTTACTTTTCTAAATAATTGTTAAGGAGGTCCTTTCGCCACCCCTTTCGCCACCAATGTTAAATAAAAAATATTAGATTATGACTAAAATTTATTTTTTTTCTAATAGTTTATAAGTCCTTATTTATCTAATGTTGAACTTTTAACTATACCTTACCGTGCAAATTTTTAAGAATTTTTTTTTTAAATGTGAGTATTTGACACTATGAGAAAATAAAGACCTCAACAACAATTCTCGAATTATGTTATTATTTATTGATTAGATGGAGTAGAAAAAAACTGAAAATAGGGTTTTTGAAATATTTAGGTTTTGTTTTTTACAATAAAATATATAGGTTACCTTGGAATTTATTGAGAAATTAAATATTTATAGCCATTTTGTAATTTATTATTAAACATACACATTATACAGAAGTTGTTGATTTTCTTAATAAATTGGAAATTACCTCTAGAAAGAAACGTGTACAAAAACGAGAGTTTGGTTCCAGAAATTGCTTCATGCAAGAAATAATATGCGAAAATAAACACCCCCCCTCCTCCCCCTAAAAAAGCTAATTAAACAATACAATCAGACTAAAATTACACAGATAGAAATAAATTACATTAATTTTAATTTAATGGCCACGTTCATAACCGTTTATAACAACATTCATAACATTGTTAGTTGTTTATACGTCACACGTCGACGTCAAGAAACCAACAACGTCAGCGACCTCTAGGGCTGGTGTTTTATTAGAGAAAGATAAATATATGTAAAGATCAATGTAAAAGAGAAAGAAAGTTATATATGTAATTTAAATGGACCACCGAACAAATTTTTTTATTAAGTTACACGTCTCTGGTAATGGCGACCAATCGATAATCGGCACAGAATACTATGAGTATTTGATGGATTTGTTATATTTGTTCAAAGTTAAACCAAACAATTTGCATGTCTATGAATTTTAATTTTTGGCATTTTAAATAATTTAATATTATACTTATTTTCTTACCAGATAAATTCTGTAGTAAACACACTATAAAAATTCGAACTCGTAGGCATAAACGCATAAATTAATAAAATAAAATGGAACTGCTTTCCTTCTTTGCTTATAGCCTAAATAACTATTTACTTTGTATTTTGTCAGCTTGGTTGCGAAGAGGAGAAAAAATAATTTATTTTAACAAAAACATAGTTTCAAAATTATAAAATTATAATAATTTTTTATATTTATATATTATACTTAATTAAAATACATATCTTATTATAAGGCATACTTTTAAGCTACCTATTTATTTACAAACTCAAGTAACTTCTGCCATTTTTATAGTGTCTATCATAGACATTTTTCGGATTTTAATTGGACATCCTAAATGGGTATATCCATTGGTATAACGAAAAAAGGATGCCCATTGTCCAGTTTTTATAAAAAGCTCATAGCCATCTAGGACATTATCTGGGTTCTGTGCATTATACAAAACTTTTTGTGGGAAGAAAGATACGAATAGAGTACAAAAAAAAGAATTATTAGTATGATTTTTAATATAAAAACCTCGTGATTCATGTAAAATTATATCAAATTTTAATATATATTTATAAAATATTGATTATAGGGTTATACTAAAAGACATAATTTTGTTATACTTACAAGTTATCATAATTACTTAACAAGGAATACTGAAAACTTAGTATGCTGATAGAAAGATAAAGGTAAGCCCTAAGTCGAATTTTTGAAAGGGGCCATTGTTAATAGACCTTTTTGCAGGGACTGTAAATAATTCAACACTCAAATAGCACGTGTGAAATCGTGAATCGTGACTTATATAGTAGTGGAACTTTTTTTTTTAATTCTAGAACCAGTTTGTAAATTTTAAAACGCTATAAAATCAAAGGTAACTTCCAATATCTTTACAATTTATGTTAATTTATTTTAATTTATTTTTTGTTATTACATTATTTAAATTTTCTAGTATCTCCTGGGTAAAAATCAGAAAACCAATCTAAGCCAACCTTAATTAGTAAAACTTAAAAACATCTATACAATGCAAATATAAAGTTCCCCCATATTATCTTCTGTATCAGTCGACCTCTGTTCCAACCACGTCCAACAGCCATTTAAATGTGGTGAATTATTTCTGTTTGGTAAAGGCTGTAACGGCCCACCCCCGGCACCCCATTTGTTCGTTGTTTTACTCTCTGAAATATTATTATTTATCTAACAAGCTGATTTTATTTTAGTTTATACTTACTGTATTTGGCCTTTTTCTTCTAGTAGTAAAAGTGATCGTCTAGTTAATTAATTGATAATTTATATACCCACGTCGTGATAATGTTAAGGTAAACCAGAATTCGATGCAAAGTTTGGTGCAAATTAATAAATAAAACATAAAAATTCATATTTAAACTCTTTATTTTTCATACTTTAAATGTGATGCAATAATTAGCAAAGTATATTACAATTGGTACTATTAACTGAGATCTCACTTGAGTCCCATTCAAACGCAGAGTACGTTCATTTGCTATCAAGATATAATTTATTTAGGTTGATGACCAACGGAGTTAACGAACAGCGCCAATTCGCCAGTTGGTTAACTACTGTGTTGATGTTGATTTGATTCTATTCTAGATATACCTACACACTAATACACAGGTTGCACCCTCTTAGGTAAATATTTCGACAAATGTAGAAGTGATCACCAATGGAAGTAATTAACAGCGCTAATTCACCAGTTGGTTGCCTTACTATGTTGGTTTCACATATACTTTGTTTCAAACCTTGTAGAATGGGTGGCTTAGCATATAGGTGTCCACCCTTGAGCTAACGAACAGTGTATTCACCAGTTGGTTAACTTACTGTTAAATTTTACCATCTTGGTTTGTACAATTTATCCAAGATAGTACATCCCTGTATATTTCTAAAATATTGATTTTTATAATTTTTATTGAATTGACTTATTACAACCCTTTTTTTAATATTGATTATTATAATTACTATTGAAATAACTTAATACAACCCGTATATTTCTCAATATTGATATTTATAATTTCTATTAAAATACTTAAAATTTCACCCATCGAAAACGGATGTCTATCCTAACTGTCTTTCGGGCTGGATGACCTGAAGGCCATATGGTTTATTGGTTACATTAATAATATTTTGCAGAAAATGTCAAGCCCTCGTTTAAACACAACCCCGGTGGTATCTCAAAGAAAGTTACATAAATCTTTTGACTCACCATTGAAAATACAGATATTAGATTATGTACTAATTTTATCTAGCGTTGTGACGGCATCGATTTAGACACATCGCAGCGTTGAGCGTCGTGGTGCGTTGAGCGTCGTGGTGCGCCGAGCGTCGTGGTGCGTCGAGGCGCTAGCGTCGTGGTGGAGAGGAAGGTATTTAATATGGTACTGCATTGGCATCGTATATATCGTACATAAAAGTATGAACGATAGCATTGGGACAGATATACGGTAGAAATATTTAGGTGGTGCGGGACGTGACGAATGGTGTCGACAAGGATATTATGAAGGAAATATTTAGGGGCGGCAAGCGTCGAGAAGTAGAGCGATGGGATGTTGGGCGTCAGAATAATTGTAAGGTAGGAAAAACTTAGATGGTGCGGAATGCGACAGCGTTCAAGACGTAGGGAGTAGGACGGCAGGACGTTGGGCGTCGAGACGTTGACATCTGCGGGGACAGGAGGTATTGTAGGATAGACGTCGTTTAGGAAGAGCGTGTTAGCAAAGGTACAGACTATATAACTGGATACAGATAATAAACTAATTGCTTGAATGTAAAATAATGAAATAAATGCTTACACATCAAATAATTAAAAAATGAATGAATCCGAGCTCATTTGGGTCTAGCTTTTCATACTAGTGTTAATGGCTTTTTGTGACGTCTCTGTGTGTCTTAGTTCCCAATGACAAACGTATTTGGGTGGAAAGGGGGTGGCTGATTTATTATGTGCCTTGAGAGCTTTGTGTATCGAAATATTGTCGAAATCGGTCTTAACATCGAAAGTAGAAAGATAAGTGAGTCACATTCATTTCTTAGTGAGTTAAGTGTTTTATTTATGATTACTTCGTGAAAAGAAATATGTTTTATGGTGGTCGGTTTCTCAGACACTTGTAAGAAATTTGGATTTTTTACAGACGTGGTTATAGATATTATTTATT